GATATAAACTTTGAACTATACTATGAAGCATGTATCATTTCTATACCACTTGTCTGTTTCAATTACATAGCATAGTTTAATAGCGTTATATCGATACGCTTTGTAACGTATACATTATTCATTAATATGAGATATTAATCATATCGCGTTTCGTAATTACATATATTTTGTCTATGTTTATTAATTATCATTTAATTAATTATATTTTGTAATTTAAATTTGCGTAACTGCATTATTTATCACGCTGCAGTTGTTTTGAACGGAAAAACATTTGCGGAGGCAAGTTTGTATCAGTAACGCGATTTTGCTTTGACGTAATCCGCGCAAGATGCCGGTCGGTTTACACACCCCTATTCGTATCCATCTTACTTTTACCTCGGCATTATGAAAAAACTTCGTCGTAATCTTCTGTAAATTTGCCCGACTGGAAGTTTCCGCTTGCATAAAATGCGCTCTCGGCTTTTCCGAACGATGGAACGTAGCGGTGCGCGTTTTACGTAGATTAAGCGGAAACTTTGAGGTTGTCAACTTCGTCATAACATTAATACCACCTGCCAACCCAATTTATCTATAAATCCATAGTTCGTTGTATATTACTTCCTGTATAATAACAAAATCTCGTTAATAAGTATTATTTTTCTTTTAAGTATAATACTGCATGTATTGGAAAATTTAACTTAATTAAAGTATATTTTTCGGTAATCTAAGTTTACAAATAAACGAAACCTAAATTATATAAAATTAAGTTGTAGGAATTTCGTATGCAATAAAAATAGTAAAACAAATAATGAGGGAAAAAGAGCCAACTATGGCCGAAGCTAGATGTCGATTGCCTAATATTTTCAAATCTCTTTTCTTTTTAAATTTCAGCTATAGTAAACTGCGCGCCGATTACTATCGGTCTTTAAGAACACAATTATAACTTAAATAATATCTATATTAAATTATTATTGATCTTTATTCGATAATGATGCTACAAGTATTTTAAAAACTGTAAAAAAAGTATATTAGTAAAAAATATATAATATGAATTAATTTTTTTACGTAGAGAGGAAGAGAGAGAAAAGAGAGAAATTACTTTGTATTTATAATAAAATAGAAATACAAGTAATGGTAATTTGAACAATTAATTTACTTATTCTTTAGTGTCGTGATGAATGTTAACATTTATGCTCTTAACATTTTCCTACAATTTCTTACGGTTCTGTACATATTTTAAAAAGGCGGATAATTTTACATCCCCTAATTTTACGTGACGCATATACATCAGAATTCCGAGCTTTCCGCGGTAATCCGTGCGAGACATTCACGGAGATGTCAGGAGAGAGAGACGGCGAATTTTATGGCGTTTCTCGGAATTCGGATGTGCATATAAAATTCTCAAGTATTTAATTTTTGATTATGACGGAAACTTAAATCTTCAAAAAAGGTAATTTTACATTAATTCAATGTCATTTTTCACTATTCACGATATCCGTTTCTATTGCAATATTTAATTATCGCGAACGTAAGGCAAACGTTTTTAATCTCATCGATAAACATCGTTTTAATATGCTAGTCTCCAACTATTCTCAAAATAATCCTTAATCGGCTTATCTGTATAAAGATTAATTTAGGAGCATTTACACCGTACATATTCTTGCACTATTATGCAACCGTATTTTTTCGTGGCGTCAACTTGGTGGACGAAAACTTTTGAATAAATATAGTATGCATGCTAACTAAGCTCTTTTATTCTTTGTCCTGTGTCGCATAAAAAAAAAACTTACAGGTCATCTACCGTCCTAGGATTTTTATTAATCTCGCTGACGAGCCGCGTTACTGCATCTGATGCCAGACCGCAATTTAGAAAAATAATGCTTATATTAAAAAATATTGTCTTTGCAACAACGACGGGGAAAGGAAAGGGGAGTAGGAGGAGTCTAAGGAAAAGGATTAATCTTGCTTGTTTATGTACAGCTTGCCATCCTCATAAATCGAGATTCTATTATCATATAATCCGCTCCTCGATTTTAATCCTTCATTTGCGAGATTTCTGCGAGGTAACGGAAGATTAACAAATCGCCGTTTTACCGTTCCCGGACATCTATTTTACACATACAAAAAAAAAGAGAGAAAAAAAAGAAAAGGTAATTGAAGTCCCGCGGTCTATTTGATTAATCGTTCTTTTCACCGGAAAGAAACTCTCTCGAATAGTGGACTCTTTGATTTCGTGCAGTAATTATAACTTGGCCATTCTTACGCGAATGAGCGGCAGTCCGAAGGTATCTCCGCGGCATTTCAGCGCAGACAGGCGCGCTGACCCGGAAGAGGGACAAACTTGAATTACGTTCGCGCGGATGCTGAACTCCTTACGAGTACCGCGGATAACGTCCCGGATACTCCATCTCTTCCCTCGGATATACTACCGGTGATCCGCTCAGCCGTGATGAGACGTTTTTGGGACGGAGGGAAGCGAGAGGCAAGGGCGGCGGGGCATGATCCCCGATAAGTGATACGTTATCTCTCCTTAATATTTCCCGGATAAACGTACGTCATAACTCTCGTAGCTCCGCGCTGTTGCCGTAAGCGGGGAAGCCCGCCAGGAAATATCAGTTTAGCTTTATATTCCGATGAAGCGCCGCAACGAGAGCGCGGGCGTATTATAACTCGCGGTTTACGGCGGCCGAATAAGCCGACTCGGGCAGATTTCGTAGCAGCAACTCTACGGGTGAATACAGGAACGTAGCCGTTCACGCGCGCGCACGCGTGAACGTGGCCGTAAAGACGTGCACGCGTGTATAAGTGCTGCACTTGCACGGTGCCGAGTATCGCGGTGAAGAAGCCAGATTTCTACGTCCGCACACTCGGTGCTTTTTACAAGCCGCCAGTGCACCTGCTTTAAGTTATATTGCGATAAACCGGAAAAATATGTACGTGTTTGGGAAGATGTATAGGGTGTAAGGGAATAGGAACAACGCGGACGAGATAACAGAGAGAATAATTCTAACCGGGCCGTATACGTTAATATTTCACGAAATTTAACCCTGTGATGTAGAAGGTTGATGGTTAAAGCTTTATTTAAATTACATAAAGCTTTGTTAATTTTCTGTTTTTTTGTGTTGATAAATAACAAATGATAAGTCAGCTTTTTTTCCTTTTAATAAAATAATCCTGAATGTAATGCCTTTTTAATTCCTTTTATAACAAAGAGATTTATTATTATTATTATTATTATTATAAAAAGAATGTTTTACACAATTTTTTCTTTTTCTTTCGACAATATAATTCTGATGAAAGATTATTTTTTTTACTACATTTCCATATACAGTAAAAATGCATATTGTGCACGTTCATTAAATAAGTAATGCAGAACTAATGTTCGTAACATAATCTTTTGCATTTTTAAATGCGAGGATTACGATTATTATTTTATTTTTAGAGATAGTTATATGCTCGGAGAATAAAAAATGCGATTACATCGTAATCCGTCTTTCGGATTTCTGCAGAGGATAATATTGCCCGTTTCTGGCGTTTGTATCAGCGGCGGTTGTAAATCACGGTGTGAGACAAGAAAATATGGATCAATAGACCGCGTGCAACATTGTGCGTGTACGTACCACTTCGCCAGTCCGGCGCAATATGCTACGATATAATTTCCGCACGATACCGTATAATAATGTAGATAACGTCGCGTACATATACACGCTCGCACGATATAAAGATGTTGCAAGAAGCGACGCTTCCTTCTTGCACCACATGCCGTAGACATAAATTAACTTCTCAGCTCGAGAACTATTAAATCATTAGGATGTCGGAAGAAAAATAGTTCTCGAGGGAGAAAAATGGAGTATTTTTTTTAAATAAAAATGTGACAATGTACTGTTAATTCTGGTGTGTTGCGAAACACATCGCTATATCATTATCGCAATGTACGAGATGAAATACACGCTATTAAACATTATTGTTTCAGTTCATACAAAATCGAATTATTAATAAATAAAATATAATTAATAAATAAAAACGGAGTTAAAAAAATTAAAGAATAAAATTGATTGATTTATAAGAATAAGTATTTAGCATTTTTTAAGTAAATAAATTAGTTTAAATATTTTATTTGATAGTGAAATATATTTCCTGTTTGCCTTTTATTTACACGGAAAGAACGATTTTGTTGAAAGGTCTAAAAATTTTGCTGGATACAGATCTGAAAATAATTCTTGTTGGACCATCAAAATAATTTTATTGGAAAATTAAAAATAATAAGCATTGCTATAAAACGTTTTGATATTCTAGCGATCAGTTGGACTTTCCAACAAAATTATTTTGATTATCCAACGAAAATTATTTTCAGATCTGGATCCAGCAAAATCGTTCTTTCCGTGTACATTTGTGAAATGCATTCCATAAAGAATCTCTAAATATTGTATTAGATATAAAACATTTAATTTTTAAAGTATATAGAGAGATCAGCTTCATAGTCTTAAATTTTATTAAATATATATTTTAGACTGAAAAAAACGTAATTAAATCAATCATCTTTCCCTATTTTAAATTATAAAAGTGTCAATATTATACTGTTATAATCTCTTTTTTTCTGTATTAGTGTTTCTCTAATTATCTGAGCAATAAATTTAAAAATTGAATCTATTATTTGCTTGCAATAATAAAAGTTTATTATAAAGAATTTAATCAAATAAAATTTTGAGTTATGAGTTATATCCTTGTGACGTTTTCAATCATATTTCCTGGAAATCTTTATATTTAACAATTGTGTGTATAAAATGTTTAATAAATTGATGACTTCTACGAATTCATATTAAATATTTGTACTAATCTGTCCTGGCTCATTTGTTTCCAAGTAATAAATCTGTATGAGATATCAAATTTATAAATATATTCTCACATTCTTAACTTGACGAATATGTACATTTATATACTTTTGTATATTATACATATTTAATTTAATTTTCAAAGATAGATTTATCTCAATGAAATTGAAGATATAATATGTCACTTACCAATACAACGCGCAACGGCTATGTGATTATGTTGACCACATTGAACTATAAAAAACAGAAACATACATAAATTATGGCATGTTTCATGTGCAATTAATATTAATATTTAATATTGAAAAAATAATTATTTCTTGCATATGAAATGACTATGAATGATTATTTCTGCAAACGAGAAATAATCACCTCATGGTTATGTGCCTGTGAAGTTAACACATTTTGTTAATTATTAAAAAACAATAATAATTTGCAATAGCACTTTCCATAGTTTTATTGTTCTTGATAAACATTAAAAAATGTTCCGCATTTTTAATACCAAAAAGATAAAAATTGACGTGCTAACTTCCAGCACGGTACATCTCCCTCTATAAAGTACCATATTTCGTTATTAAATATTACATCTGTGTTCTCATTAATCTTAAGTTAATTTCATAATTATACTATTACTACAGGACACTTTTCCGTCGAATGTCGTGCTGCCATGGGTATTCAGAACTGTGTAAAAATTATTAATTGTTGCAATTTTGTCTTAAAACGCTATATAATTATGAAATTAACTTATAATTAGAATTAACGGGAACACTTGATAGTTGTAATATATGACAGCATATAGTAGATTAGAGGAAGATGTGCTGTGCTGGAACATGAAGTTAGCACGTCATTTCTTATTTTTTATTTGTTTGACATTAAAAATGCAGAACATTTTTTAATGTTTACTAGCATTACAGACGCGCGCTTTTAAAAATTAACAAAATATCGTGCTAATTTCACAGACACCATAGTTACTCTCGTTGTTTAAAGCCTCCCAGATTTTCTCTTTCTTTCAGATTTGTTCATTGCACTCGCACAACACTTGCGAAAATTATACGTTTATTACAATCGCGCATACTAATTATTAAAATAAAATAATTGTACGACATTTTACACGGCATTCCTAACATTAATTTTCAAGATACGAATTTTACTTTTATACTTTCTGTGGCAGAAGAAAGGATAACGCGAAAAGAGTACAGAAGTTCTCATATTATCTACGCGTGATTCGACACTTGTAAATCTACAATTACAAATTATCATGACAAATAAATTACATATACAAATTATTTTATCGCGTCGCTTGATTACTTATTGTATAACTATATCTAGCATTTATCGCAATTGCGTTTTGTTAGATAATAAATAAAATATGCGGAGCAACCCATGCCGCGACGAATGTCAATACAAATGTAACGAATAATACTTGGCGACTGTGTGTCACATGGTAATGACAAACTTCAAGGCTGTACTGCTTTCATTTCGAAATATTAAGAGATATGCTAGCATCTCGCATCAAATATATATTTTTAATATTTTACAAGATAGATTCACAAAGAATCTGTTCCTTGCGATTTAAATTAATCTCAATGAATAAAATATTATCACGTATTTTGCATAATGCTTTGTGAATTTATTAGCGTCATCTCTAAGACAGATTTTTTTATCTCTCATTTACATAAAAATTCATTAGATGTATCTAATAATTCTTTAAAAATAGTATAATTAACTAAATTTTTATTTGGTGTTATTGGGCAATTTTGATTGCTCGTAACTCAAAATTATTATTATTATAAAGATTTCCATCTTTTTCTTTTAGGATTTTTGACTTTAATTAATTTTGTTTAAAAACTGTTTAATTTAATCTATTCAATTATGTTGTGGAAAGAAAGATTGCGAGATATGCATGTATTTTTGAAGAAATAAAAGTAAGGAAGAATATAAAAGAAAATTAAGAAATTTATCACTTTGAATATTTTCAATATACACATATTCTCTTACGAAGTTTATTAAAAGCACTATTTATCAAATAACTGGATTTAAATCACAAAACTAGTTTTAAAATTATGTATTATAATTGTACAACAGAATAATTGCAGTTTTGCATAAATGTGTGCAGCTATCTAGATGGGCGCAAAAGTGTGAAATTCAAGTTGCTTGATAGATCACGCGATAAACAAAAAAAAACCCAATGCAAAACCTGTGCTATTTAATATCTACATTGCACTTTACGCGGCCGGTATTCATTTCTCTTATATATTTATTGTACCATTTTTACGTCAAGTATACCGTGCATATAAATTTTGAAACAGAAATGGTAGAGTGCGCGGAACATCGTTGAAAAGTATTATTATCGCGGAATTCGTAGATATATTACGATAGAAGTGGAAAGGTTGATAAAAGGTACAAAATGAATTATGCACGTTCCAGGTTGGCGCACGGTTGCATTTATATGCATTAAACCGCACTTTTGAACGTGAACAGCATGTGTAAAAATATATTTTACACTAAACGCTTGTGTTCTTCTGAATCAGTCAGAGTAATTTGCCATTTAATGGGCAATACCGTATCTGTATAGGACTTGATAACAGTTAAAAGTATACGTATTTTAACGAAAGCTAGAGTATGTCCGGCGCTGTGTGTAAAAATACGCGCCTTACGTTTAGAAAGGAAATACTTGGGGTTTGTTGTTAACGGCGCGTCGTTACACAAAAATCATCAAGTGCTATTCAGACGTTGACATTCGAGCGAGCAAGTTGCGGCAAGAGCCGCTCCGTGTATTTTTATCCATCGAAACGCAATCGCGACAAATATTAGAAAACAGTTTTCTATTTACACGACAGTTTTCTATTTATACAGTTAGCAGTCGCAATTTTCAGTTAGCGATGCAAATCGTTGCGATAAAATAATTTGCACGAGATAGATTCGTAATGTCTACACTCTACGTCATCCGTTATTATGGGTTTGTTATTATGGCATACCGCGCGCAATACACAAAATCGCCAAGTACCATTCGGGCGTTGACGTTCGAGCGGGTAGGTCGCAGCACGTGCCGGTTACAATTTTGATATAATTACAAACGCACGAGTGAATCATTCATCTCAAAATTGACATAGAGTATTGACATAGAGTATATATTGACCGAGTATTGCGAATTTTTCGTTTGAGGCTTTGCTGTTACATATTAATTTAAGTTACAGTTACACGAATGGAGCCGATGGCTGTTTGTCGCAAGTGACGCAAGTAAATATCTCGCGAGATTGTTCATCTAAAATAGATATCGGAACGGAGGCAATGGAAATAATAAATTTTTTTTTTCGTCATATACCTACTTTTTTATTTTTGTCATATTCGGATACGATTCTCGAATTCGGACGCAAAACTCGCGTCGCGCTTGAAATCTATCGCTGAATTATGTGTATAATTTGCCTGCCGTTTTCTTTCAAAAGAGCGGAGCAATACGCGAATCGTCGGTTGATCCAAATAACGAAAAACCGTGAACGCATAGCAATGCGTTTTAGTAATCAATTTGAGAAGCGGAATATTTTGGGCGTACGTATTCTATGTTGCGCATATTAATATTTCTCGTAGCGGCGTATCTAGCCGGCACACAGTGCTCGACAGTTACTTTTTCGGCATACGTTGTATCGTTTAATTACTCAAGGCCCACCGCGCGCGGCTAAACTCGGGCAAACTCCGTGTGGCGCCTCGAAACGCGCGCTCGCGACAAGAGCTGCGGGAGAACGTAATCATTCCCCATGAACAGTTAACAGTTATCGGACCGCGTAATTAATTAACTCCCGCGATTAACGACTCGTAAGCGATGGCTATTTATCGAAGTAAATATTTTGCACGATTCATTTGCTTGAATCGAAGCAGGACGGAAGTGTGACGAAGCCATTATTTCTCGTTATGATAATTTACGGATGATATTCAAATGAATTCAATTATATCTTGCATGGATCTTTGACTCTTTTGCCGCTTCAAAATTACTCACCTAGCGCATCTAAAATCGTCACAATTAATATAACCGTAATCAATACATATATATACATACGTAAATATGTGCGAACGTTTGATATTGCTTCCGTTCTCATCGGCAGTTGTACTTGTGAGAAATTGAATTTTAACTAGTTTTAACTTCGGAATTGCCGTACGAAGTGCCGCACGATCGTCGTATTCCTTAACGTTATATTCAATAATGAGTTCGTTCGCGTGCATAATTAACGTTATTTTCACGTGTTGTGTAATTGCAATCAAGGGACCTGAGAGAAGCAGGAGGCGTGGGAGGCATCGGGCATCGGCGGAGTAACATTGGGATGAGAAATTATTTCTATATTATTTGTATATACTAGTCGTTTTCTGTTTGCTTTGTTTATTTATTTGGACAATTAAAGAGGAATGAGAGAAAATACGTTTTGTCTATGAAAGCTTACGAAAGCTTATGCTTACAAGTAGCAGTTGTATTTTCGAGAAAATTATATAATTATTCTATTAAATATTTTCTTGAAATATGAATATAAAATTTGATATGGACAATAATTATTTTGTGCAGAAATATTAATTATTTTGAGCACGCGCTTCTATAATTTGGATCTTATATTTATTTATGATTATTTATTTTACAGATCAACGCAGCTTCATGTAAACAACTTCACATCATATCGGTGAGTGATTAATTAGCCTTTATTTTAAATTAAGATAACGAATCGTGAAAATATGAAATATAATGAATATATAAAATATATACAATGTATTCATATTTATATAAGTATCAAATTAACATATTATAAACATTATGATACATCACAAATTCGTTGTCTTACAATGGATGGGCTACAACAGATAAAGTTTAGAATATTTAATGTTGGAATATACAATTGTCAGTTGTTGATTTATTATGGATGCAGAGGCTATTCTCGCACACACGCAAAGTTCAGAAAATAGAGTTTATTGTATTGTCTTGTATCATTTATTGTTGATTTTCAGGAATTAAGAATATCATGCAAATATAATATATTATTGACTTTATTCGTATAATTTTAGCATCAAATAATTAATTAAATTTTTTAATTGATTATTTAAACAGATAACGGGAAAAAAGGAAAAGAAAAGAATATAAAAAAATGATCAAGTAAAATATTGCATAATTTTAGATTACAAATTTCATAAAATTTTCTCATTATTCATATCTCTGGACAATGGAAATAAAAACAAGATGTTTGTATATTATATAT